AGATACCAATCAAGAATCTATCACAGGCTTGGCTTGAGATAACCAAACCGGAAGGGAAGTTAGTTCTGAAAAATGGGGAAGAAGGTTCTGTTGTTTGGGAAACGAAGGGCAACACCGAGCACGCCAGCGGAGTGAAGCTCACGGACCAAGGGAATCTGGTGGTTTATGATACTGAAGGAGTGCTCATTTGGCAAAGCTTTGATTTCCCGACAGATACGTGGCTTCCCGGCATGAACTTGACAGCTCAGAGCTGGCTTACCTCATGGAAAAGTTCCAATGACCCATCAGTGGGAAGGTATTCTCTCCAGCTCCTGTTTCCGACATACGGTGAGTTGGCTCTGGTGTATAATGATTCCAATGCTAACAATATTTATTGGTATTCTGGAAATTGGACCGGAAATGCCTTTGCACGAGTCCCTAGGATGGCCGAACTTCTTTGCATTAAAGATTTCATTTTTTCCCAACCTTTCACTCTAATGGCATCTTTGATGTACTCTGAGATGTCTATAGAGCACGGGGTACAACAGCCTCTGACCCATTTCCATTTAGACCACACCGGACAGCTTAAGCAATACACATGGTATGTTGAGACAGAGAACTGGAACATTGTCTGGTCAACACCTAAGAACCCGTGTTCGGTTTATGGATTTTGCGGGAATATGGGGTTTTGTGACACTAGTTCTTCTGTGAGTCCATGCAAATGTATTACGGGGTTTGAGCCGCGGGACGATGTTTCTTGGGATGCAGGAGATTTTTCTGGCGGTTGTCGCCTTCGTGATGGTACATGCGGTAATGACAATGGTGGGTTTCAACAAGTGAGGACAGCCACTTATGGTGGAGCAAGAAGTATGTCATTCACCGGAACTATGGCCACCTGTAAAAAGCGATGTTTGGGTAATTGCTCTTGTCTTGGTTTTCATTATAATGAAGGATCACGTTTCTGTACAAATATGTTCGGGGAGTTGTTGAATATGAGGAATAGTTTTTCTACTTCGGATGATAATGATGAGCTGTTTTTGAGAGTCAAGACAGGTGGTGTTAATGCCTGGAATGACAACAAGAAAAAGACGTTTCTATTGATAGGAGCAAGCTGCTTTGTGGTTATGGTAACTTTTGTACTTGGACTTTCTGCTTTTTTCATTTTAAGGAGAAAAATTTTGGGCCAGAAGACAGAGGAGGACAAATATGAAGTAATGACAAATTTGAAACTCTTTTCACACCACGAGCTTCATGATGCGACAAAGGGGTTCTCCGAGAAGCTGGGGCAGGGAGGATGCGGAGCCGTGTTCCTAGGCAACCTACCCGACTCCTCACGTGTTGCGGTGAAGAGGCTGGACAGGGCGGGCGGTAGCGAGAAGGAGTTCCGGGCCGAGATATCCACCTTAGGAAACATTCAGCATATTAATCTGGTCAGACTCCGGGGGTACTGTTGCGAGGACAATCACAGAATTTTAGTTTATGATTACATGCCAAATGGTCCGCTCAGCTCCTACTTAAGCAGGGAAGGCGGCAAAGCGCCGCTGCCTTGGGATGTCCGGTTCCGGGTCGCCGTCGGCGTTGCGAGAGGACTCGCCTACTTACACGAGGACTGCCGGAGCTGCATCGTACACCGTGACATCAAACCGGAAAATATTCTTGTGGACGGAGATTTCTGCGCAAAGGTTTCGGATTTCGGGCTGGCAAAGCTCTTGTGCGGGGACCTCAACCCAGTGCCGGGGGCAATGGGAGGGACTCAAGGGTATGTTGCGCCGGAGGTGGCCTCCGGATCAGAAATCACGGCTAAAGCTGACGTATATAGCTATGGGATGACCATGCTCGAGTTGATCGGTGGGAGGCGTAACGTGGAGGGCCCGCCGCCTCCTACCGGCGGGAACGAGGATGAGAAATGGTTTTTTCCTCCCTGGGCGGCGCAGCAGATCATAGAAGGCAACTTGGCAGCAGTTGTGGACCAGAAGCTTGCGGCGATTGAAGGAGGAGGAGGGTATAATGCGTCGGAGGCAGAGCGGTTGGGACGAGTGGCGGTGTGGTGCATTCAGGAGGAGGAATCTGCCAGGCCTACAATGGGAACCGTTTTGAAGATGCTGCAGGGAGTCGCTGAGGTGGGACTGCCGCCAATGCCACCTAACATGCATCATGCGTTTCTCTCCGACGCGTCATCTTTTAAACTCAGCAAGCTAGCCACGTGTTCCACTCTCCATAGTGGCGAGGGATGTGACATCTTGGATGGTCAAAATTAAATTGCAAAAGAGTTGGTCTCTGGTGCATTGTAAAATTTAGTGTATTTTACTACCTTTTCGTAACCAAGCATATAATAGCAATTAGCAATATACTTGTATATATTTCTACGATATATATAGGCAATTAGCAATATAGAAAATGTTAAACGGTCAAATAGGTTCTTGTACTGATCATGTGAGCTCAATTAGATACTTAAACTAAAAAACCGTCCAAAAGTCCAACTCACATCCCGAACTGGAAAAAAAGGGTCCAAGTTTCCTTTTTTAAGGTTTTACAATCGATAAAAAGGTTCAATTCGCACTCTTAAACTATTAAAATGTATCAAAATTGCAATAAGTCAAAAAAATACAGATACAATAAAGAAATTAAAAAAATGACTGGTTGTTTACCCGTAAAAAATGAAATTTGAACCATTTTTTGTCGGTTCAGAATGTGAATTGAACATTTTTTTTAGTTCACTTGAATTGAACTTACATGTACAGATGTCTATTTGACGCTTTAGCCAAAGGAAAAAGATGGGAAGGAGGCATGTAAAGTGTAAACAATTTTAAGAGAACTGCCGGATCAAATCTTCAATACAGAAGCATACGTAGTATGATTTACATATGAATTAAATTCGTTCTTGGACGGGTTAGGATATTTTGATTATGGGAGAAGCAACTCTCAAAAAATACTTTTTAGCTTACTGGGTCCATTTATATACTCCTCGTATGAAAGAACAGGATGATTGGAAATTTTGGATTGCACCTTTAACCCTTGTATCTGACACTAATCATGTTCATGCTGTCTTGATTCTTGAGGGGTATAAAACAGTCGATGCGCTTTTATTTATTTTAATGCGCGAGAGAGTCAATGTCCAACTATACAATATACTACGATTAATCATTAACAATGCTCAATCATAATTTATACTGAAACAACAATAATATTTCATATTATTAGTCTCAAGTTAAAAATCTTGAAGCATGTGTCACTCACTCAAAATATGGTAGATATTCCAATCAACTATTCATTGTTATGGTATATGTATTATCTAGTTGTTAGTCACTACAAGCTATGTTCTAAAAATTCTTCTAGACGTCCGACAAGTCCCTGCCTAGGCGCTAGGCGGTGGTCAGGCGCCACGATTTTTGTCTAGGCTCTCCGACTAATTGGTTTGCCATCTAGGTTTGTGTAGGCAGTGTAGCTCTAAATCATTCTCACTTTATTCTTACTTTATCAATTAATATCAACTACACAAACTCACTTTTCTTAATAATTGTTCCACCCTCCTCCGTACCAATATAAAAGGGACGGAGAGATAGTACTTCATTAGTGCATTACAATGGGGGTGTTTGGATCCGCTTTTAAAAGTGATTCTACTCTCCCAAGGAGCACTTTGAATTGAAGCTGAAGCAGTTTAGCAAGTGTTTGGATCTGATTAAAAAACTTCTATTAGAAAGGGTGTAGAATCAGTTTGGTAGAAGTTGGGTAGTAGCAGCTTCTGGAATTTAGCTTCTGATTCTCTGAATTTTATTCCTAAAATAACCTCATTAGACTTTCGGAAAACAACGCAATGCAAATCAACGATCCAACCTAGGGCATTCTTCTCCCTTCAGAGCTTCTCTTCTCCCACCATCGAGGCGACGCAACCATTTAGGCCGGTGCTTGGATTCTCCGGCGAGAGCTTCTCCGACCACCATCTCTGGGTGGTGCGACTTGGCTTCTCCATCGACTTGTCTTCTCCGACTTCTCCAGCGACTTGTCTTCTCCGGCTTCTCCAATGACTTGTACTGTCTTCTCTGTCTTCCTTGTCTTCCACTCTAAGGTACACTCTGAACTTGTGATGTGATTAAAAATGATTAATTTTACACCTGATTAGTAATTACACTTACTAATCAACTTCCTAGCTAGGGTGGAAATAGGTCAGCCGGCCTGTCAGGGGCGTGTGGCCTGGCCTGACCTGTTTAGTAATCAAGCTAGGTTTGGGCTTTTCTAAAAGTCCGTTTATTTAAATAGGCCAGACCTAGCCCAACTCTAAAGCCTTTTTACCTCAACAACCTGGCCTATTTATATGTGTGTATATATGTATATATAGTTATATTTATATTTATTTGTATTATTTATATTTATATTGGTATACTCAACTATATCCAAATCAGTATAATATTATTTTTAGGGAGTGTGTATTATAAATTAGAATAGACTACTTTTTTAAACATATATAAAGTGTGTTAATAGTTTATTAAGCTAATTGAAGTTCAAAGTTTTTCAAGATTCAAAGTATATAGAAATTTATAAACTACATAATAATACTCCATAATAATGTATTATTAGACATTCAAAGCAAAACTAACGTATTATTAGACTTTTTAGTGAATATTTGGGGTAATAAATTTTATACCGGATTAAAAGGATTTTTCACTTTTCATTTTCTTTGAAATTTTATTTTTTTTCTTAACAGGCTCGAGAAACAGGCTTCAGGCCAGACCAGACTTTTAAACAGGCCAGACCCAGGCCGAAAAAACAGGCCTTTAACAGGTAACAGGTCAGACTCAGGCCTTTATATTCTAAAACAGGCCCGACCTGTTTAGGCGAAAGCCTGACCTGGCCTGTTTCCACCCCTATTCCTAGCCATTCAAAAAGAATCCAAGCCTAACCAGGGGAGAAATAATGTCCTTTTGGTAAATTTACACAAAAATCAGTTTGAAGAAGCAGCTTATCTAAACACTCTAAACTGATTTTCTATTAGATACACCAGAATCAATACCAAACACTTTAGACAGAATCACTTTTCCATACAACACAAAATTCTGAGCTCTCTTAAAAATAGAAAAAGAAGCAGAATTAGTTCACGATTGTACCGCAAAACACTTGACGCACTGCTGGCTATTCCAAAACGGCAAAAGTAGTATGCAATTATTAGGGCCCTGGGCGGAGAACAAATTACATACTCGTATTGCTGATAAAGAACCCAGGACGGCTGCCAACCATTCCTACTCTATTTTCAAGAATTACATGGTAAACCCTAACTGGTAACTACATTCTTGTAGTTGATTCATTATTTGAATTTCGATTAAGTGTTTATGTGTTTTAGTGCTCTGCAATTTTAGTATTTATATGTAATTAGTTGAATTTCAGCATGTCAAATTGTCAATTATCGATATTATTCATTTCTTGGTGAATTATTACTTAAAAAGTTATCTTTTCGTGGTTTTTTTATTAGTTTTTAGGATGTATTTTTCAGACTGTTTATTTTCTGGCTCTAATTTACAAATTGTCTTTTCAAAAATGTCTCCTTAACAATTTGAGTTATGATAATTTATTTATATGTTTTTGTGATTGTATGAGTTGAATATGAAATTATAAATGTTATGATTAAATAAGGTCTTAGTTTTAAGGGGAAAATTGCTATATAACCATAAAAAATAGGTTCGGTGAAGTTAATAGCATCTATTTTATATAATGAAGTACATGACACTTTTTTTATGAATATAAAGCCGGTTAACATTTAAAACCGTATCTATCCTCATTCTTAAATATAGTTCGTTACAACCGGCCAGATATGAGAACGAAGAGCATATTAATTATTTAACTTTATATTGCAGATTGATTTTCTTTTCCTAATGGCTATAGTCAAGTTTGGAGATAACGTCAAAAAAACCTGCGTTTCCTTTGTTACCCAAGATTGCAAAAGAAAGCTACGTATAATTTTTTTCCAGAAAACTATATATGAACTACACTTATTGCCAGAATGCAAGGTTTTTTCCAAAGAGCACTATAACTCCACCTTTATTTTATTTTGTTTTATGCCCTTTCCACTTATGAAAATCGAAAGTGTGTAACCCCAGAGAAAGGTGCGAATTTAGGGGGATAGTGAGAGAGAAGGAAACTCGCAAGGTTAAAAGGGACATCATATGATCGTGAGTTTCTTTAAAGGCTATTTACTTTATTTTTACTAATTCATGATATTAACTTAAAGTTACATACTAAATTGTGTACATCCATCCAATTTTCTCTAGTTTTAAAGGATATTTTTGTATACTTTGATTTAATAAAAAAGTATAGCTACTCAACATTCTTCCCATAAATCCAAATCGACATTGAATTTTTTCCTTAAACTCAAATGAAACACACAAAATGACACACCTAGCGACCACGTAAACATGTCTTATTTCAAAAGCCAACCGATTGAGATAGAATATGATTCAAGTAAAAGAAAAGAAAGATGGGGTTGTCCTTTTGAGAGTGGATATGAAGTTAGATGGTTATATTTGGCAGTAACATGTTCAGACTTCAATTTGTAACAGGATGATGAATTTGTAGGGGATAGTTTGACCATTTCCATTAAGGATATGTTTCGGAGTTTGGAGGGAAGGGTAGTGGAAGACTTTGGAGGTATGTTATTGGAGGGGAAAGGGAGGGGAGGGTGAGGAAGCCCTTCTTTGTATTTGGGAGTAATAAATTTGGAAGAAGAGAGTTTTTGAACGAATTATAATTAAAATGACTTTGAGATATGACGAATTCAAATAATTGAACTGATTAAAATAATTGACGAATTCAAATATTTATTTTTAATTTAGTTTAAATTACCATTTTTGAACTTTGGTTGCTACAAAAACTAATTTGGTTCAGCGACCTTTCTAAGCTATGGACTTGATGCATATATAAATTTATTGCTAATACTTATTGAAAATGTTGTTTGATATGTTAAGTTAAATACTAGTTCAGATGTTGAAGTTTGTCATTCCATAAAATAATGATTTTGTTCATGATGTCATGCAGATGTTGTTTGAGTATTTAAACTACCATATTTGCTTCCAAAGCATGACTAAACTCCAGAAAATTGCAATCACTTCCTTTTTGCTAGTATGTGTCTCTACTGGGTTCTTGTTTTCTACAGTTTCCTGCTCACCGATTCCACTGGGTTCTAGATTGACTATAGATGAGAATAACTATTGGATGTCTGCAAATGGGAATTTTAGATTCGGGTTCTCGAATCATTCCCTTCAATTCAGTGTTGGTATAGAATTCTGTCTGAGTTTTATCTCAGGCATTGAACCAACATTAGTTTGGAATTTGGGAGGTCACAATAAAGTCGGTAAAAAGTCATATGTTGAGTTAAGCCTTGATGGGGAACTAATATTGTTCGATACTGAAATCAGAGGTATCGCTTGGAAAAGCAATACCAGAAATGCTGGTATTGAATCAGCACTTCTTCGCAATGATGGTAACTTTGTACTCTTAAATCAAAAGAAGAATGTTATATGGCAAAGTTTCACCTCACCATCTGACACACTTCTTCCCGGCCAGAATCTGACATTTCACCAATTACTCCTAGGTGCCAGCGAGGGTCAAGAAGCTAGCCATTATAGTCTGTCTATGAGTGCTTCAGGGATATTGCAACTGAATTGGGACAACAGTGTCACTTACTGGACAGCGGGAGATCCTTCTAAATCAACTGTTCATGTCATGCTGAACACTGAAGGGGCAGTTCAAGGTTATGATCACATGTCTAAAGTTGTTTGGTCTGTGTTTCCACAAGACTTCAATGATAAAGATGTAAAGTTTCGTTTTCTTAAGCTAGATATTGACGGGAATCTTAGACTATACTCATGGAGAAACGAGTCAAGGTCTTGGAGGCCTGTTTGGCAAGCTGTTCAAAATAATTGTCATATCTTTGCAACTTGTGGGTATGACGGGATATGTATCTTCAATTCATCCGATTCACAGACTTGCGATTGTCTGCATACATCTGCCGGCGAGGAGTACTGTATTCTTCTAAATCAACAGAATTGTGCATTGGGATTTTCTATGATCAGGCGTGACCACACGTTCATATATGAAACACGTCCTTTAAGTCGAATGATGGTGAAAACAAGTTTGCAACATTGTAAACGTCTATGTGTAGAAGATCCACTCTGTCAAGCTGTTTCCTTTTTAAAAAATGGGACCTCAGAGTGTCAAATCATGAAATCTCAGTTCATTAGCGGTTGGTCAGATCCTTCATCCAGTTATGTATCCTTTGTTAAGACTTGTTTGGATCCCATCGCGGTTTTACCCATCCAAATGCACAACTTTACTAACAACCAATCACACAAAGTATCTGTGTTATCTATTATAGGAGGAATCACCGCTGTTTCAGTTCTTGCATGTATTGTTTTTCTGTCAGCAATTGGGACGTACATGGGTAGGAGAATAAGAAGAAAATGTGCTGGTAGAAAAGAAGCCCTATCATCAAATGCAGTGGTCAATTCTAGTGGATGTCTCATGTTGTCGTACTCTAAAATCAAGGAAATGACAGAAAAGTTCAAGAACCAGATTGGTCCAAACATGTTCAAGGGAGTGACACAACCAAATAACAAGTTAGTGGTAGTGAAAGATTTAAGTACTTCTTCTATTGGAGAAAAAATATTCTGTGACGTTGTTCTAAGACTGGGCAATGTACATCATAAAAATCTTTTGAAACTTGAAGCTTTCTGTTGTGAGTCACATTATAGGATCTTGGTTTATGAGTTTGTCAGGAACGGTTCTTTGGCTGAGTGCTTACGGGACTCTGAAATTGTCAAGAGGCTGACGTGGAGAAAAAGATGGAATATATGCATAAGCATAGCGAGGGCTATCTCCTACTTGCACAATGGATGTTGGGAGTTCATAAGCCACGGAAACCTGAACTGCACAAACGTGGTTTTGGATGATAATTTGGAAGCTAAGGTGAGTGGGTTTGGGCTGAGTCCACTTTTACCAAGTCCATCCAGAAGCGAGGAGAGCCCAGCAGAGAAAGACATTAGAGATTTTGGTATGATGATATGTGTCTTGATAACGGGGATCCAAAGCGGTGATAAGGCATGTAAATGGGCTTACGCAAAATGGGCTGCGGCAGAATTAGAAACATTGTTCGATAAGATAATAGAAGGGGTTGATTTTGAAGAGATGGAGCGTGCGTTAAGACTGGCATTCTGGTGCTTGCAAGTTAACACGCAAAGGAGGCCATCCATGGCAGAAATTGTGAAGGTATTAGAGGGCGCATTTGATGTTGATCCTCCACCGCCTCTTTTTGGTTAATAGGATTCAATATTCATGTAATATTGCATCCTAGTTTCAAGACACTTATCATGGATGGACTCCTTTGCACCCATGGATGGCCTCCTTTGCGCGAAGTATGTAAGTTTAAGTTTTTATTGCTTGTAAGATGTCTTTTATTCAAGTCTTTTCTGCTTCACAAGTTGCAAGTCTTTTCATCTTGTTGATAATAAAAATGTCTCTCATATTTCAAACTATGTTTTATCCAGTAGCTGTTCACTGGCTCTAAGGTCCTGGATCTTTGTTACATGGCTTTCCACTTTCCAGGCAGTGGAGGGCATTCATTCGACTTAAAGGACGGTTTGTATATAAGAACGTATGGTCATGCTTGATCATAGAAAATCCCAACGACGAACGAATCAGGAAAGCGATGATGCCAGCATCAAATTGGGGATTTTAGATGGTGAAGTTTTACCTCTTGAAGATCTCATAGAGCCATCTGTTTTCTCAGAGATTAACTTTGCTTTCCCAACTGGTAAGTTAATCCTTTAATTTCTTCAAAGGAGTCTGCTGAGCAGTAGGTTGAATTACTATTATTTTGTTTTTTCGGGTAAGATTTTTTTTTTGTCTTTCTCGTTCCCTGACTAGGGATTTGAAATGATAAAAATTCCTCTTTACTTTGTAGAGTGTCAAGTTTTGATCTGAGAGATGAGGGGAATTTTCTAAGTATTCTTCTTAGCCGTGTTGTTTAGAAATACTTCTTAAGTATTTATGGACTCCAGGACAATTAAGTGTTTGGCCGTGAGTCTTTACTTTATTAAGTTTTACTTTCTTTATACTTTATTTATTTTAGCTTTATGTCTTTATTTCTGGAGTTTGAGGGTTTTGTGGTTGTGGATTCAGAAAGATTGCTCCCTATATTTCTGGAATTTACTTCTGATATTTCAGGTGGTTGTAAATTTTAATTCAGCTTTAGTTCAAGGAAATGTGAAAATTGTGAATTTAGACCTTTAGTCCAATACAATTCAGCTTGTTGTTGTGAATTGTAAATTATGAATTATGAATTATGAATTCTGGAATAACCCTAGATTGCTCCGTAGATTATTGTTGTGAATTAAACGAGTAAAACGTACAAACTAGTTTTTTAGTGTGAGGGTTTATAAGTTTATAATGCTGAAAAAACTACCATTTTACTGTCAAATCCAATTCGTGAGACCAGAAGAAAGGTCAGTGATAGTCTTCCCCCGACTGTATTCTTTTAAATAGTTGCTTCATGTGGATACAAAGATAATGTACAATTGTACATCTAATGTGAATATATGCTTCTGTTTCACTTATATTTTCATTATTTGTTGTTAGTAGTAATTTATTAATCTCATATTATCTCTGACACGTTGCAATTGATGTTATTTTATACATTATATTTTGGACCCCATTGAATCGTAATGCTAGGGATTATGAATACACCATTCTAAAACCAAGTGCTTGTTTGACACATTGACCCACAGGCTACAGCTTTTTGCCGCCTTTCATGTTTTTTTCCTTCAAAGACTTTCTCTTAGAAAGTGCTTGGGGTCAATATTTTCATGTTCACATCTATTGCACTTTTTTTGCAGGACAAGTTGAACTCTTCTCGCAATCTCGCATGTTCTTGTACTAAAGAATTTTGTGTATTATTTACTTGATTAAAAATTTCAATGCCTGTGTAGTTTATTTACTTGATTCTCAGGTATGCACATGTTGTCATTCGTTCTGCTGGAATCTTTTAGGTAGCTTAATGCCTATTTGAGATTAATCACTGCACGGTAACTTTCCAGTTTATCACGGATGTGAGTATGTGACCAAATTCATAAGTGGTTGTATGGCTTCTCTCTGCGGTTGTTCAACTTGAATTGCCTCGTGTCAACATCTTGTCAAAACTCAAAAATGGACCTAGTACAAGTGCAATTTTACTTGTTGACTTTGCAAAATAATTTGGGACGGAGAGAGTATTAGTTATTAGACTATGTTTACAAGTGCATAAAGTTATAAAACTAATCTTAAGTACAACTAAAAGTGATGATCAAAATTACTTATACTTATCTGTGAAAATGATTTTGAAAAACTTATAGTTAATTTGTGATGGAAAATGATGTTTTCCACCATTGCGAGGCTCATAACATACGGCACTCGTTCAATTTCAATAATACATTATTACATCCATTAGCATGACATATTCATTTTTTCCGTCGATAAAACAAGAAATAAATACAACGTAATGAAAATAGGTCCAATGTAGATTGTGGAACCATTTAGAGCAAAGTTATTGTTGCTGGTATATATAGATTTCTCTTAATAAACCTATTGAAATATCTCAAACGTAATGGTGAAAAAATTTAAGAAAAATTAAACAGGATTGGACTTGAGCAGTTGTGCCGATCGACCATAATCTACGTCCGTCACTGCAGGCGTAATAGCACATGCACAGCACACCTGAATGGTTAGCACCACATGCAGCAGCTAGACGCTGATCATTTGGAAGGCTCTTCTCACAGATAGGGAAGCAATTGCCTGGATCATGTGGGTCACACTGTGCTGTGACGTTCTTCTGGCAAGCGGCCTTCTTCTGAGCTACATCATGAATTAACCAATTCAAGACAAAATATATACTTGGTATGTAGTTTAAAGTCTAGAAAGTGAGCACATGATAATTAATAACATACCATGTTTTTTGAATTTATACTAATATCGTAATATACCATCATAAAAGTAGAAAAAATACGCAACCCCATTCATGCTTCTCGAATTTACGGGTTTTTATGATTTCTTATTGTCACATCAGTGCCACATAAAAAATCTCAAAATCTATCAACTTCTCTTCAACCACTATTTATTGAGATTTTTTTGGAACATAGACTAAAACCCAAAATCTATCAATTAAATGCACTAACACACTTACAAATCACAAACACTCTACGTATGCTCACACACACTATTATTATATAATGCGGAGTATACATGTGTATATATGTGTGTATATATGTGTTTACATACATGTACATAAATAAAACAATGCACACACCCTCATGTATTTTTTAGTATATCCTCTCAATCACACTGCTATACTATATACACTCAGGTTAATGATTAATGAATAAAATATTACACAAAAACCCTTTATTGAAAGTATATTTTAACAAAGTATTCTACTCCCTCCGTTCCAAAATTATCTTCATAGTTACTATTCACATGGTCAACTCAAATTACTCTTAATCTTTTACTTTATATATCAAATTTTTATCAAACTTAAATTTTCTTGATCAGGCTTTGTAGCGGTTTTAATGTAGTTTCTGAATATGTAAATTTTATTTACTAAAAATAATCCGAGTGTGAACAGGGATCGAGTTGCTTTATCGTCAGTCAAGCATCGTAAACCGAACTATGAAGATAAATATGGGACGGAGGTAGTATTTTAATTTATAGCATTTTATTGAAAGTATTTAATATATATGCAGCTTTCCTATTTTTAATATGTATGTGTAACCGGATAATTTTTTAAAAGCTAATGAATGATAGATACCATATTCCAATTTTTAAATGGGTACCGAAGTAGAACGATGAAAAAAGAAAGTATCGATAAGATTAAATAGTAAGAAAGAAAACTCCGGGCAATAAAAAGAGAACAAATTAGGACAACATACCATCACCGGATAACCGGTAAGAGACATGATGTGCAAAAATGAGATCATTTTCATAGTATAGTGAGGTGAGATTCTTCTTAAAGGTCGATGAGTTTTTAACACTTTTGATCCTCTGACTATTATGTCGTTGACATTTTTGGTACTGGACTTGATTTTTCACTTTTAGTCTTCGACTATTGTGTTAAAGACATTTTTAATTTGGTACCCATCTTTGAAGTTTTCATATTTAGTTCTTTGACTTTTATAAAAGTGACACTTTTGGTCCTCCAACTATTATATTAGTGTAGTTTTAATTTTATTCCTTCATTTATTAAGTCAAAATCATAGTGAAAGGACTAAAAGTGTCAATTTGATAATATTCAAGGGACTAAATGTCTAAATGTGGAATTTTTTTATGTCGAGGACTAAAAGTATCTCTAGCACAATAGTGTCGAGGACTAAAAATGGAAAAATTAAAATTCAAGGACCAAAAGTGTAACTGACACAATAGTTGGAGGATCAAAAATGAAAAAAACTCAAGGTCGATGAAAGGTGGAAGTTTTTGTTTCCAATTTTCCTAAATTTTAATATTATACTATTATACTATCGTATTCTACGTTTTATGATTGATCTTTTTTTGAAGAGGAAATCACTTTTATTGATATCATTAGAATCATGATCATCACATTAATATCAAAGTGACCAATACTGACTACAACCTTCACCTTCCAACTACTGCTTATAGATATACGATTAGACATAGAGATGACCACCCCTAAAGGAGCAATATTAATCGCTAACCACCAGACGGACTTAATGCAACTATTGCAGAACAAATAGATTCGCCCCCCACTAATCATATCAAATCTAGCCGAAACCTTAGTCATCCTAATAAATATAGTACCATGAACTTTATTAAAAAACAAAACGATAAGAATAGAGTTCCTTATTAAAAAACGAGACAAGGGGCAAATAAAGCCACGTACTAACCAAAAAAGGTCAAATAAAGCCTTATTTATGAGGCTCTGTCCAGCCTTCATCATTTGGGGTGGTTCTCGGTGGATTTTTTAATGAACTTTTTTTATCATCTTATTCATTAAGTCTAGTTTACTCATAACAAATTTCAGCTAACAATTCAATCGGGTAGGCATTCAAATGAATTCTTGAAGATAACTGCGCTTTTAACTGCACAGTTTTGGTAATTAAGCTCTTAGGGTAAAAGCTTATGTGTAAAAATTTATCTGAAAAAATTTTTAGTATTTCGTCGTATATTTTTCTAATTCTCGTAGGGGCAACACCAATGCGTTTGACTATATATGATATCGGGTTAAAACCGAACGAATTTTATTGCTTTATAAATGTAAAAGATAATACTAGTATTTCATTATATTTGGGCTGCATAAATAGTAAATCAAAATAATAAAAAAAAAAAAAGAGAAGAGCAAGATATTATACCAGAAACGAGTCCAAAGGTGATCAAAACTAGAAAAGTAAAAAGAATGATCTTCTCCATTATTATGATACGATCGAAATTGTTGGAACTGCAAAGCAAACGATCAATGTATTTCTTGAACGACCCTCATTTATATTGAAATATTAGTCAGTTTATCGATTATAAGCATCCTCTTATAGTAACCAAATCAGATGTGTATATTGTATTTATCTTTTCCAATAATATATGCAGTAATATATATTACCAAATTATGGTATAGGGCCGTATAGACATATATAAATGTGGTCGTATTTAGTCAACTCTTTTTTATTATTATTAGCCACATGTCATGTGACCGTATCTATAATAGTATTTGCCTCATATAGGACTAAAAGATGGGAGAAAATCCAAAAGAGGACCATCTATGTTTTTATTCTGAAATGGGACTGTTTTACTCCTATTTGAAAACGTAAGGAATTTCTCATTCCATTATTACCCCTGCTGTGTTAGCCGATAGATCCAAGCCTCATAAACAGATCGATTCTTTTCTCTCTCTGTGGCACCACCAAACAGATCGATCGATTGCTTCTCTCCGCCCCACCTCTTCTTCTTAGTTGTCAACAGATCGATTGCTTCTCTCCATCGCACCTCTTCTTAGTTCTCAAAGATCGATTGGTTTCTTTTGCCTGCATTTCAAATCGATTTCATCAACAACTAGCTTCATCCCTAGCCGCCGAGTTGCCGACGACTCCACCGCAAGCACGCCGCAGTTTGACCAGGTTTCTTCTTCTTCTCTTCTTCTTCTTCCCCCTCCTCTTTCTCCTCTTCCTCCTCCTCTTCTTCCTCCTCCAATTATTCGAATTTTTGGCTTTGAAATTACTTTTTCTAATTTTTCCTTCCTTCCTCTATTTATTTTAGTTTTGACATTCGATTTTGTTGATTTGTGTACTTCTATTTCAAATTTACGTTTCTTGATTTATTAATTTTTTGAAAAATTCCACTGTCCAGATTTTTGGATGAAAACATACGATTTTGCCATGTTTATGGCAGTTTTTTGGATGATGGTATACGATTTTTGCCATATTTATAGCAGAAATGTAATCTGACAATCATATTATGGCAAAACACTTTTGTGAAAATCAATTTTTTATTTTTATTTTTTGTGATTCACTTCTTATTTGTGATTGAGATGAATTTGTTAAAGTCATTGTTCTGTTAAAAATTTTGGGTTTTCAGAAATTTAGTTGTGGACTTCATATGTTGCCAAGATCATGGCAATTTTGTGTAAATCTGTGAATATAAATCTGCCATCATTATGGCAGATCTAAAAATTTGTTTTGATTTTTCTGTTTTTTTATCAATAGTTTCGTTTTCTAATTTTCGATTGTCTTAGAATGCTTATTCGATTAAAAGATTAGTTGTTTGAGTATTTGGTTATTTATTTCGTGCTTTTCTATTTTTGCCAAATTTATGGCAGTTTTATATTCCGTATTAATATTTCAAGATGAATCTGTCAACCCTTTGGCAAATCTGAAACCCTTGTTCATGGCAGGTGTGAATCTAATCTCCAACAATAAATCTGCCACTTTAATGGCAGATTTATTCCGCCTGAGTTAACAGTGGTGACGGTACTCAGAGAATGGTGGCGGCGGACGACTCCGGTCAGATGGTGATTGCGGCAACGCTGGTGAGAGGTGGTGGCGGCGACGCTGGTGATGGATGGTGACGAACGCCGGCAAGGATGCGGCGGCGGCGGCGGCGGCGATGGCGGCGGCGGCGGCGATTTGTGGTGGCAGGTTGCGCCGGCGTGGGGTGGCAGGCAACAGTTTGGCTCTGGCAACGACAGTGCTACTGCTAGGATTTCACAAATCTTTTATTTTACACTTTTGAAATTTTTAAAGTTAAAAGAGGGGTAGTTTTGTCCAAAGGTACTGAAATTGGTCCTATGAAAGTTGTGTTTCGTTTGTGGTCCTAAATGTGCAATTAACTTTGTTATTAGTCCTATTTGAGTCATTAACTCTATCTATAAAAATGTTTCACAAGAGCAGAGGGGGAACAGTAGCTGCCGCTTCTTCTTCTTTTTTTCTTTTCTTCCTTCATTTTTTGGCTTCAATTATTACGTTGAAAAAGAATCGTTTAATCACTATTTTCAGTTTTGTCTATATATTTATTTCCCAGTGTTGTCTAAATATGTTATTTTCGGTGGCGAATTGTCGTGTTTCATTTATATATTCTCCGTCATTATCAGTCGCCTGTGCTTGTGCGCTAGTTGAGATTTGTAGCGGTTTCTTCATCAATTATGAATCTGGATTTCTTTTGCATCAATATTAGGGTTGGGACCAGTTCGGTTCTTACTCAAAATGAGTGGAACCATTGTAAAATTTTAACTAGAGGAATCAGTTCGATTCCTATATAAAAATCAAGAACCGTTATACATGGAACCGAGCCGGTAGTAAACAGTTCGGTTCTTCCTTTTACTGGTTTCTAGAATAATTTTTTCTCATCTAAGAATTAACACATAATTTCTTTTCTACAACATAAGCACGTCGAAAATTCAAGACACTAGTATTAAAATTTTAGAGAAAAGGGGCAAATAAGCCCACGTACTAACCAAAAAAGGTCAAATAAGCCCTTATTTAGGAGGCTCTGTCCGGCCGTCGCCATTTGGGGTGGTTCCTGATGGAAGTTTTTTATGAAAGTTTCTGAGCATCTTATTCATTAAGTCTAGGTTTACTCATACCAAATTTCAGGTAAAACTTCAATCGGGAAGGCAATAAAATGAATTCTTGAAGATAATTGCGCTTTTAACTGCACAGTTATCTTCAATAATTCATTTGAATGTCTCCCTGATTGAATTGTTAGCTGAAATTTGGTATGAGTAAACTAGACTTAATGAATAAGATGCTCAAAAAATTTCATCAAAAAAGTACACCGGAAACTGC